ATTCAAGATGAGAGATTAAGTATTTGTTAATTAAAGATTCAGAAACCTTGCTTATGATAGGAAGAAGAAAATGGAATAATCAGCGATGTCCAGCGTTAAGTTTGGAACAAACAGCTATGTCCGTAGTTTTGAATGTTGTAAAAATCATGTGTATACTAGAATCCATAATAATTGGTTGAATTATGCGGGAAAAGAAAAGAAAACATAATAAGCATAATAGCGAGCAACGATTTTTCTTGATTTTTCTGTTGTAACAGAAAAATCAAGAAAAAGGAAGATTAATGTTAATTTAAAAAATAGAAAAAAAATGCACATTTTATCAAGTCACATAAGTGGAACCGACTGCAAATGCAAAAGACTGGCATGTTTTGAGGTTGTTACTGTTGAAGAAAGAAGCGAATTAATTAAAAACTTTAACGAATATTTATCTAAAGATAGTCAGGACGCATACTTTATTTGTTGGAGACGGGTGGTTTACAATAAAATTTATTTAAATTTTATTGTAAACCATATTATTTAAAATCACTTTATTTTCTTTATAAAAAAAGACAATATAAATATTAAACTATGATAACATTTTGATTTCTGAATATTTTGGAACTTTTATTAGTTTCCGTGGTAATTTTATAAACTAACAAATTGTCGTATTTGCGGAAGACATATTGTCATAATTTTAAATTCTTTGCTCTGAGTTCTGTGTATCTGGTGTATACATAACATTCTATAAAAGGTATACTATCTGCGGTTATATACAAAATTGTTTTTGTAAAATACATGTAATTTAATCAAAGAATAAATATCAATTGTTTTCTTTAATCAAATTACTGTTTAGAAACAAATATGTCAAGATCGACAAGACTTAAAACAAAGGCATATCTTTTTGAAGAATTTTAAAGAAAAACTACCAGAAATAACGTTTTCAACAAATAAAATTCTCTACTTTCAGTTTAGAAGATGTGGAGACAAAATAACTCCAACAAAAAAGCTGATTTTTGCTGTTTGATTTGTCATCAAACAGCAAAGTGTTCTGGTCTTGGTAGCTGTCCTGAAAACTGCATTATGTTTGCAGTTAAGAAACCTTGGATAGACAGAAGATGGGATACTCACTGACCCATTTATAAGGTAGGTTAAACAAAATTTAATTCATATTTAAAGGACAGGTTACCATAAAATACACTACAAAAATTTTGGATAATATAATATTATCTAAACCAGTTATATATATTATTACAGAAAGCATATCACTGATCTGATCAACAGCTGGGAAGCATATCACTGATCTAATCAACAGCTGGGAGAGTTTAAAGAAAAGTAAGTATAAGAACTCGAAAGAAGCAAAAGACAAGATTTCAAAAAAAAAAAAAGGAAATAAGGTTTTCTGGATTGCTAAACCAAATATCCAAAATATTCTAAAGAAGACTAGCCTTAATAAGGACTCGTATCGTACTGATATAAAATTTTTGAGAGATCAAAAGGTCAGACATAAAATGACTCTGAGTAAAAAAGACAAGCTATTTAACCAGAGAATTAAGAAGAGAGAACAGAGAAATTTACATCTACAGTTAGTACATAGTGTTGAACAGTTTTTTCAGAGAGATGATTTGACTACAGAGGTTCAGTTTTCTTCTGAAACTAGTGATACAAGTACCAGCATGGACTCAGATTGTTCTTTTGATTTTGAACAGTCAGGTCCAAGTAATGATACGCCGCAGTTAGCCAAGAATTTTGTACAAGATATTGCCATGACTTCAGTTTCCAAATATATTTCCTCCAGAGATTTGTTGCGTGTTTGTACAGATTTGGTTGTTAGTTCAGGTGGCAATGTTGAAGAATTTTTACTGTCTCAATCAACTATTTGGCGAGCACAAAAGAAAACCATCCATCAAAATGCTGCACAGCACAAAAGGGAGATTAAAAAAGCTGCTGAGAAAGCACTTTTCCCCATAATAGCTCACTTTGATTGAGAAATTATAGAAAATTTCACTAATAGGAAAAAAGAAAAGAGACAGGTTTGCTGTTTTAGCTAATATTGATGGAGACATTAAGCTTCTTGGAATTCCAGGTATGGAGCATGGAACTGGAGCTGCTCAGTATGAAGCTTTGAATAATGTACTGGGAGATTATGGAAATGTGGCAATGTGAAGGGATTATGTTTTGACACAACTGCCTCAAATACTGGAAGACATTCAGGAACCAATATTAGGTTCAGTCAAAGACAGGAATCTATTTTGTTAGAGTTTACCTGCAGGAGGCATATATATGAGCTTCAGCTTAAACATTTCTGCGAGCAAATTACCTCAGGCAAAACAGCAGCTCCAGAAGATTTAATGTTTAAACAGTTTCAGACAAACTGAAATGGCATCAAAGAAACTGTTGATCCTTCCAATTTAATAAGGTTTGATATCAATTCCATCAGCAATACTTTCTTGGCTACCCAGATTGAGGAAACTATCCAGTTTTGCAAGGATGCATTAAACACTGACATATTTCCCAGAGGGGATTATAGGGAGTTATTGGAACTTACCCTGATGTATCTGCATCCTGAAAAATTTTTAAAGTTCGAGCTCCAGGCTGTGTTTCTCCTGCTAGGTTCATATCAAAAGTCATTTACTACTAGAAGATTCAGATATTGAGTACACATCTGCCCTTGATTTGACTGTTTCCCAAAAGAAAGAGTTAAAGGCAATGGCAGAATTTATCTTGATTTTTTATTCTGTCTGGTTTCTGAGAACCTCATTACCCTCAGCTGCACCATTTCAGGATGTAAAAGCTTATTGGCAAATGGTGCAGTACAAAAAACATGTAGAGAAACACGACGCTGATTCCAAGAGAGTTCTAAACAGAATTAAAAGCGCAATGATGTCAATGGAGACACACCTGGTACTTAGATGAAACTTTAGTTCCACTTGCTCTCCTAGATCCTGACCTTTCTAATGTGGAGAGAGAAAACATTGCAAAAACATTATTATCCAAACCAGTTCCTAATCATTTTCAGCATTAAGAGAAGTCAAACTTGATAAAAGAGTTAAATTTTAAACAAGAAGTGCCACCAGGACTTGCTCGATTATTCGGAGAGAACTCTTGGTTCATCTTCAGTTTACTAAACCTGACAAGAATAGAGGAAAAAACTTTGGTTAAACTCTCCTGCTCCTATGTGGTGCTATGTTGACCAGTTCAAAACATTCTCCAATTTTGTAACTAAACTTGAAGTAGTGAACGATAGTTCTGAAAGGGCTGTAAAACTTGTATTAGAGTTTGTGAACAATGTTCACAATGAGGATGATTGTCAAGAACTTATACTAGCTGTGCAGCAAAGACGAGACCAGCTTCATGGTTCAAGAACCAAGGAACAGTTGCAGCTAGCGTATGAATCAATATGCAAGAAGAGAAAAAAATAACATATATTATATTTAATCATTACATTATATTTTATTATGTTTACATATCATGATTTTAATATTTATATTGCCAAGTGAAGCATTTTTTTAAAAAGAAAATAAATTGATTTTAAATAACATGATTTACAATAAAATTGAAACAAATTTGCTTGCACTCCCCCCCCGTCTCCAACAAATAAAGGATGGGGAGGGGGGGGGGGGGACATCTCTGAAAATAGGGTGAGGGGGCGGATAGCTTTTGACATGCCCTTCTATATAAACATTATTAATGCTTAGTTCTAACATTATTTTCAAAATTCGGCTTAAATATGAAGAATAAACAAGCGTCAGTTATACATAGTGGTACGTCATTTTATGTAAAAATTTGTTTTTTTCATAACTTACTCCATGCTATGTGGAATAAATACCACTATATTTTATTTTGGTTTTACCCTATTATAAAAGAAAATTTGGCTTTCTGAATTGATTTTTAAGGTTTAAAATCAAAAATAAAAAATTTTATTTTATTTTAAAGGTTTAAAATCATATAAAAAAAATTTGGCTTTCTGAATTGATTTTAAAGGTTTTAAAGGTCCCCGGCAGAGACCTTTAAAGTCACGTGACATTAAAATTTTTGGGCTTAAAATTATTTTTATATTGGTGGTCAACCATTCCAGGTAGGACCAACTTGATTTTCGAAAATTTGCCAAATATGAATCACCCTGGTATGTATGTATGTATGTATGTATGTATGTATGTATGTATGTATGTATGTATGTATGTATGTATGTATGTATGTATATATATATATATATATATATATATATATATATATATATATATAATACCAACCCCAGTTTTTCCACTGAGTTCTTTATTATATACATATAAACATACATGTATATATATATAAATAATATATATATGTTATATATATTATATATATACATATACATATATATATATATATATATATATATATATATATATATATATATATATATATATATATATATATATATATATATATATATATATATATATATATATATATATATATATATATATATATATATATATATATATATATATATATTTATTTATACATAATTTATGGTAACATACTATTTAACTCTTCAAATAAAATTTTATTAACTTTAAATTAAAACTAATTAACTAAATATTTAAAATTAATAAACATTTAATAAGTAAATGTCACCATAAAAATGTCACCGTAAACGATATATTTTCAATTTTATATATATATATATATATAAAATTGAAAACATTATTAATGCTTGAACTAACAATATAAAGTATGTCACTATGAATGATATATATATATATATATATATATATATATATATATATATATATATATATATATATATATATATATACATATATATATGTATATATATATATATATATATATATATATATCATTCATAGTGACATATTTTTTATAAATGGTGACACTATTTATATCTTTATAAATTAATATATATATATATATATATATATATATATATATATATATATATATATATATATATATATATATATATATATATATATATATATATATATATATATATACATATCTAAACAGTAAAAACATACACCACAATAAACATTGTCATTTGCAATTTGAGGTGGATGAGCATCAACTCCAGCTAAATGTTTCATTTCAGTTTTAGCTTCTTCAGATGATGCTATGTCCTTTACTTCATAAGGAATTTTTTTCCCATCTAAAACCATTGTTATTTTCTGTTGGTGTTTTTTGAGCTAAAAATGTATATAAAATTAGTAATCAAAGCAATTTAACATTATTTCATATAGTTGTCTTTGTTAAAGCAAAATATTGAAAAATGCATAAATATAATTATCATAAAAACTTAGGATTTACTGATCAAAAAAACTTATAATTTCTGAAAAGCAGTGGTTTTTAAAAGAATCATTTTACTATTTAGGAATTTTTAAAAACAGCTCTTAACAGCTATTTTAATGTTTCTTTAATTTGAAACTTTTTTTATTTATAAATGAGTACTCATAGGTGCTAAATACATGGGAAGGGACATTTAATAATTTTCAGAAATTTTTCTGACCAACATAATCTGCCCTGAATTCAAATAAATCTTTTTTCTCAAACATCCGTATAGTATTCCAACAAGTTTTTATATCAATTTCTTTTCCAAATAGAGCCTTGATTTTTTATTGAAAAACTTGATTTCCAACACTCAACAGTTTGAAGAACTTTATCAACTTGTGTGAGTAAATTGTTGTAGTGTATAATATTATCTTCACACTCATTTATAACTAACAAAATTGGCATCTTTGTCAAAAGAATCATTTTCATTATTATAATTATCACAGACATCGCTTAAATCTTCAATAATATGCTTTTTTTTATAAAGTGTGTCACATACTCCAAGATGTAGACCATAATTAAGACAAATCAATCAATAAGATCTAAACGTTGAATATACTTCTTGTTTTCAGATGCTCCATTCTGTGTAGATGCAACTAAATCTTTTCTCATTGATGTTCCAAAAACACTTAGACATTGTTTTATTATTTCAACTACATTGAGCCAATAAGCCATAAAATAAAGCAATGATTAGTGAACATTTTGATATTCAAGGTGTTGCAAAACAAACTATAAAAAATATTTTTGAATTCACAGTTACATACAAACTATTGTTAGTAATAACTTTATTTAGTTATTTTATAAGAAAAAAAAGTTGATTTAAAAAACTATTTGCTACAAATGAAGGATTGAAATAAAATTATTTGTTGAACATAATTTATATACAGTTATTTTCAAGATAAAAAATTATTCTGATAAAAAAAAACAATAATAAAAATAATTTACTTACAATTTTTAAATAAAATTTTAAATAATTCACAATAAAAAATGACTAAAGGCACCTTATGTGACCTCTTTTCAAGAAATCAAAAAAAAAAGTAGGTAAAGATATCACCAGCTGTATAATGTTATATTTTTAAGTTAATATATATATTAAATTAAAGATGTGAACGACAATCCAATTGTTTTTAATGATGATTAGTTGTTTTAAACTAATAAAGTCTTGCTTTTTGTTATCAATGGGATATCATTACCTATTAGGTACGTTAACCCTTCACAGTTACGTGCTTTAGTAACTTTAGTATACTTGAATTAATTCCATTTTATATGTGATATTGTCAGTTTTATCATATTAATATAAACATCAATATTAATAAATAACAACATAAATATTAACAAAACATCTTTGTCCTTTCAAAGTAGAAATCTCATCAACAAACATGCTAAACTTTACTTTGTTGGCTAAATTTAGGTATACAGTTTCAATCATTTTTTTTTTGTTTTGAAATCATCTTTGTGCAGAAGTTTCATAAAATCGCTTTTGTTAATAGGGAGTTTAAACACATCTTGAGATATTGACTGGCGAATATATTTATTTTTGGTTATAAATCAAATCAAAATGCCATTGCAGAATGCCATGCTAAATTAGAGACAATATTTTCAAGATTCTTTTGCGCAGAAAAGTTGCCAACATTTTTTGTTTCTTCCACTGGCTCTCTCATCTGTTAATAGATTGCCTTATCAAACAAATTCTGTGACTTTAAAGTTTTTAAAATTTCCTGAGCATCTTATTATTTTGTTACAAAACTGACGCTGTCCTTCCAACTTTTTTTTTTCTTGAATATTTCCAGACTGACATTAAGAATATGAATGTCCATTCATATTCTTAATGGGTAATAACTGGTAAAAAAAGCTAAGGAATCCAAGAAAGTCAGCCACAGCCTGTGTCTGAATTCTACTGTTTTGACCCTGAAAAATATTATTTAAATATTATTAAAGGATATTAGGTCCTAGGCCTTTTTACCCACTGTTAAAAAAATTTATAACCCGTACTTATGCAATTACTTTTAAGTGAATGTAAATAAGAAACTGGTTGTAGAAGCCCTATTTATAACTTAAGAAACTCTTAAGAAACCTTTAGTATTAAATTAGTAAAATAAAACCATTATAACAAGAAATTTCCTAGTACTAGCCTGTGTGTTAAGTTTTTTTTATAAAAAAAAAATGCCTACTACTAAACTAAAGTTATTAATTAAAGTTACTTATTATCCAAAAACTATTTATTAAATTGTTATTTAAAAAGAAAATCAAATAAAATTAACTCGTTTTAATGATGGAGTTAATGAAAAAAATGTTCTTTTAACAATTTTAATATATTTTTTTCAATTTGAAAATTTAATATGAAAATGCTTGAAAAAAAAAATTCTAGATGAATGAAGTAATAATAATAAGAAATAAAGTTTATATAAAAAAGTAATAATAAGAAATAGGGTTTCATTTTATAAAAATTCTAGAATGAAACTTTATGAGGTTACAACTCATTATAAAATTAAAATAAAATTTAATTTACAGCGAACGTATAAAAAAAGTTTTTGATTTATTGTCGCTTTAAATTTGATTTTAAAAAAATGAAAAAACAGTAAAAACCATTATTTAAAAAACTGCTGTTTGCTGTTTTTTATTTTTCTTAAAAAAACAACTGCTTTACTGTTACTGTTAAACAATGTTCAGAAACCCTATAAAAACTATGTTAAAAAAAATTATCCTGAACTATGCATAACTAAGGTTGTGCATAATTTATAGAATAACCACATAAAAAATGATTTAGAAGAAAATATTAGTTCTTTAGAGCAAAGCATATGCTATAATGAATATCGCAATGAACATTAGTTTGATTATTTTCTTCCATTTTTAAATTCCTTTAAAGTAACCTTTAGGCTTTAAAACTGATGCACAAACTTTTGTCATTTCTTTAATGTAAGTGGTGAGGCTGTACTCCAAAACAATTGCAAGTATTATATATATAGTTGATTTTGATTAGTTGATACCATTTGTTGAACATTTTTATTCAGATCATCTCATAAAAATTTTAAACTGGTGACTGAAGGGGTCAATCAATGTGTTAATTTTTTTGCTTGCTCTTTTGATAAAAAACAATTTTTACACAATTTTGATCTCTGTTTAGCTTTGATATCTGAAAAAAATTAATTCTTAATCCTACAAAGTTGTTATGCTAACAAATGAACTGATAATATATATAGTCTATAATTCTGTTTAGACCAAAAAAAAATATTGCTTCAAATCAAAGCATTCTTCTGTGATAAGAAGTTTTTTAAAAATACTCCCTTATTTCTGTCAAAATCTATAAACAAAAACTTTTTGTGACCAGCAAAGCAATCCAAAACTGTGACAGAAGCACTTTTGCTAGTTGATACGGATATCTACACAAGTTTCTGAAACAAATATCTGCACAAGTGTTGCACAGTTGACACAGTTATCTGCACAAGTTTCTTTTTAAGCTAGTTTTTCGAACTCATTTTAAAAATAAGGACGATTAAAAAGAATTTAAAAAATTTGCATAATTATTGTGTTACTTTGGACTTACATAAATACGGTGACATTAAATGTCAGTTAAGGTGACATTAAACGTCAGTTAAGTTGAACCTTTATTAGGTTAAGTTGAACATTTATTATTTTTAATATAAATATTTTATCTTTAATTTTTCATATTTTTATATTTAATTTAAAATTAACTAGTTTATACAAAAGTACTAATACAATCTAGTTGTTTTAATATAGCAACAACTAAATTGCATTACTACATAAATATTACATAAATCATTATTTAAATTATTACAAAGTTGAAAATATTGGACATGCAGAAAAGCAATTCTTTAAAAAGCATAAAAAAAATAGAAATACCTCAGTGCTACTTGAAACGCTGGAAACGTAAACGATAACTCCCATTTTAGCAAGGACTTGCAACTATAGATTAGGCGTGATGATTTAGTATATTCTATAGTTAACTTATATGGAATCTTTAAGACTGTGGTTATGTGGTTTAATTTAACCGAAAATCTTCTATTATACCGCATTCGAAAAGTTATAACAAATATATCAATAATCAAATTTTAGTAGGATTTGTAACATGGCGCTTTAAAATAGCACTTAAAAACACACCTTTTAAGTTTAGCCGTTGTTTTGCTTGTTTTGTTTGGCTTATTTTTTTTTTTTTTTTTTTTTTTTTTTTTTAGTTTACAATGTTAGTCGTGATACAAAATAATATAAGTCGTGATATATAATAATATAAGTCTGATACATATATAATAATATAAGTCGTGATATATAATAATATAAGTCTGTTACATAAAAATATTTAAGACTTCTACAAGAAAAGAAAAAAAAAAAAAAATGAGTATATAGGGGAGCGTGGTCTAATACGGGCCCCTTAGCATAGAAGTTCATTTTTTCCCGATATAGATACCAGTATTGAATGCCTAATGCAAGAATAGCATAACTTAGATGACAATGTAATTAATGGGTCATAATCAGTTGGATTAATATAACAAACTAATTAATTAATCATACTTTTAAAACTTGTGATTAGGGGCCCATTTTATCCCATAGCTAAGCCTAAAACGGGCCCGGGCCCATTTTAACTGGCCAGGTTAAGATGGGCCCCGGGCCCGTTTTAACCTTGTGCTCTGTCAGTGACAAAATCAGATCAGAACATTATTCAAATGATAACTTGTTAATTTTGCGTCTACGCTATCAGGATACTATCATGCAATAGCAAGATCTGAACAATAAACAACTCATCATTTCAACACAAAAACTAACTATTAAGCTATTAATAACGATGAATACATTTCACTTCTGCAGCTTCGTGAATAGGTTTTACAGTTAGATCTATTCATGATGAACAGTTAGCAATAGAAAGTTCACGTTCAAACGAGTAGCATGTGGTGCTACTCACAACATTGAACACATAAAAAGTAATCGTCATCAAATACTCCATTCACTTCTGCACACGATTCATGGTACCATGTCAGACAGGTTTTGCATGAAATCCAGTCACACGCCTTCACCTTATCCTCGACAGATTTTTCCATGATTCCACATTCTGGACAAACTGATTGGATAGGCCCAGTCTGTTTCACTCCTCTTTTTTGGTTTGTATTTAGTGCAGATTTAGGCTTCTTTTCTTTCGTTTTGCTAGTCTTCTTGTTTTTTTCTGCTGCCGCAAGAGCTTTTTTCACTTTTTTAGCCTCCATTGCAGCTATCTTCTCTTCAGCCAAACGCTTTTTTGTTTCTAAGCCTTGCTTGTAAGGACTGGCAGTCAAAATAGCAGTTTTACCTTTCGATTTCGATGTTTTGCGAATGCTGCCCACTTCCACTTTTGGTAAAGGCGAAATTTGCAAAACACGGACTTTAGGTTTATGTTCAAGAGCGTTTCGACAACCAACAGCTGTTGGTGTATTTAAACCGACACCGTCAGCATCACAGGGTTTTTGCAGAACTGGCTCGACCAATCTTGGTGAAGATGAACTGTCACCAACTTGTGCCTCTATCAACTCTATTGTTGTCGGAGAAACTAAAGAATCAACATCACCGCCACCGGGTTGCTGTAGAACTGGCTCGACCAATGTAAGTAGAGAGGCGATGTCACCAACTTGTCCTTCTGTCAGCTCCATTGTTATCGGAGAAATAAAAAGTTCATAGTATGAACTAGATAGGTTTGTAGTTGTTCAAAACGGTAACTAAGGCGTTGCTAAGGAACTATTTGATAATATACCTAGGTAAAAAGTTAAATATCACAAAATATACAAAACAAAATGTAGAATTTTTTTCAAAAAACTAAAAAATAATAATATTTTCTATCAGAAAAGATGAAAATAGTTTTTCTTAAAAAAAATAATTTATTCACATTTATTTTGTGATGAACCACCTTAAGAAGTCAATGCCTGCATCAGCTGTCTAAAACGGGCCCTTTGGTCTAAAATGGGCCCATAGCGGGCCCGTTTTAGACACTGATAAGGCCATTACAAAATCCTCATGTTGTAACGTTCCGATAAAAAACACATGAAATCGCTCATTTCCTGAGTAATCGTAACAAAAAAACAAAAGCAATAGTGCCCTACCTTGTAACTCGATATGACGATATGACTTGTAGGTCTGTGATTTCGTAACGTCAAATAAAACAAGAGAAATTGATATAATTGATTCGACACGTTTTTACAAGACCCTGTCAATTATTAACGCAATGTAAACAATCATGCATATTCATTAAACTAAGCTGGTTCTATTTGCATTCAGAGTCACCGAAAAAATCCGCTTGGTGTCGTGCCAATCGTGGGGCCCGTTTTAACCGAGGGGCCCGTTATAGACCAATCTCCCCTATATATATATATATATGTATATACAATTCAGCGTACTAACAATATAAGACTAGGTTTCCGAAAGAAGATCAGAAGGATCTTATCACCGGAACCTGAAAAAAGACATAATGCAAAGATTTAACATAATGCAAATATGCAATATACTAATACAATATAACATAATGCAAATATACAATATACTAAAATTTTAATACTCAATATGCTGAAGATTTAAAAAATACATTTTACATAAATTTTTAGTAGAATTTTAGAATGTTATCCATACAGAGAATGAAGTTTTTTAATTTAGTTTTAAAAACAGGAAGAGTAGTAGAAGGGTCAAAATTTGGTAATACTATTTTATTCCAAAGATGGGGTGCACGATATGCAATACAGAATTGGTTGAACTTCGTTTTACAAAATGGTTCATTTAGAAAACTATTACTTCTTAATGTGTATTTATTTATTGGTTTTAAAGAAAAAAGGTCATTGAAAACAAATAAAGATAAATCGTTTTTCCACATAAAAGTAAAACATAAAACATTAAATATGTTAAGTTTATAAACATCTAGTACATTCATATAATCAAAAAAATATTTCGAACGTGAAAAGCGATCCGCATAATTAACTACACGGATTGCATGTTTCTGACGGCGATAAAGATGTTGTAATTTACTTTTCTCCGTACTTCCCCAGGCTATGATTGCATAATTTATATAATTATGTATAAATGAATAATAGAGCTGGGTTAAGTTTTTTTTGTTTAGATAATTTCGAGCTTTGTATAAAATGCCAATATTTTTAGAAACTTTGGTGCTTATATGATCAATATGCTTTCTCCAAGTAATATTTTCATCAAGATAAACACCTAAGAATTTTATAACAGTATCTCTTTTTATTATAGTTTCATCAATGTAAATTTGAGGCATATTATTTGTTAAAAATCGTTTTTTTGCGCAGGAGTGGAAAATAATCCATTTTGTTTTGTTAATATTTAAAGTTAATTTATTAGCTTTGAACCAGTTCGAAATGTGTTTGAGTTCTTTGTTTGTAGTTGAAAAGAGTTCATAAATATCAGTATGGGATAAGAAAAGATTAGTATCATCAGCGAACATTATACTTTTCAATTTGGAAGCTTTGTTTAAATCGTTTACATAGATTAAAAACAGTAGTGGTCCGAGAATAGAGCCTTGTGGAACACCACAAGTTATGCTCAGGGGTTCACTTTGATAACCATCATTACTATACACAAGTTGCTTTCGATTTGTTAAATAGCTTTCAAACCATTTTAAAATTTTATTGTTTAAACCATAATATTTAATTTTTTGGATTAAGATGTGGTGATCGACCGTATCAAAAGCTTTTGATAGGTCAATAAAGACACCTAGTGTGTATTGAGATTTTTCAAAAGATTTAGAGATGTTATGTATAAATTGAATGATGGCATGTTCAGTTGAGCTCCCTTTTCTGAAACCATACTGATTGTTATATAATAAATTGTTGTAATTAAAATAATTGTATACTCTATTGAAAATAATTCTTTCTAAAATTTTAGAAAATATAGAAAGAACAGAGATAGGGCGATAATTATTGATATTGGATCTGTCGCCTTCTTTATGGAGAGGGGTAACTCTGGCAAGTTTTAAACGTTCAGGAAAAATACCTTGATGAATAGATGCTCTGAAAATTTTGAAAAGAATATTTTTTAATTGTTCATAGCAATCTATAACAATATTCCCGTTTATTTCATCTGCACCAGGTGCTTTATTCTTTTTTAAAGATTTAAAAGCTTTCTCAAACTCATCAAATGATAGTTCAGCAGATAATTCTTCAGAGGAAATATTTTTATCAAAAGGTAACAAAAAATCATAAAATGAGGTCTGAGTTTTTTGTATTTTACTTGATAAGCTTGATCCAATTTCAGTAAAATATTTATTGAATTCATGAGCTATTATTTGTGGCTCATGCAAGCTATTGTTATCGACTTTAAGCATTTGTGGCAAAGAGCTTGAGCATGTTTTTTGTTTTCCTGTAATTTCTTTTAATATTTGCCAAGTGCGTTTTGAGTCATTTTTAGCTTTATTAATTAATTTTGAATAGTAATTTTTTTTTAATTTTTTTCGGATTTTTTCGAATAGATTTTTGTAATCTTTGTAAATTTTTTCGCTATCTGGTGTTTTTGTTTTTAGATATTTTATGTATAGCCTTTGTTTAGTTTTGGATGATTTTTTGAACCCCTTGGTAATCCAGGGATTATCAAAGTGTTTTGTTTTTAATGTAATTGTAACAATTGGAAAATTAGACTCGTAAACAGAGATAAAAGTTTCATAGAAACTTATGACATAAAGTAACGGCTAAATTCGATTTATTAAGCCGAAGACTAAAATTATAAACATTGTTTAGGTACGTGTTTATCTGGCTTTTGCAGCGCCGATTTTCAAGTAAAAATCTGTGACATTTACGGATACCAAAATGTCTCAATTTTTTGACCTATCGAACAGTCTTAAGACTGGCTTCGTGTTTGGTTAAAGCACATCGCATAGCACGAGTGTTTTTGATCGCAAGTCCAATGGTTTGTATTTTTTATTGGCATAGAACTTCTTTAAGTTTTTCATTTGGCTTTGTGAAATAAATGTTAGCACATGGGCGATTGATTTTTGGAAAACCTTTATTTTATCATGTTTAGATAGTGCACCTTCTGTAACCTTATTTACATTGAGTTGCTGAAGCTCTGTTTTTAATT